GAAGAAATGACTCAAATGTTAGAAGGAAATTTGTTCAACTTTCAATTTAATGTTCACCACATTGGAAGTTATCATGGATTCATTTAAGTTAGATATTAACACCGTTGGATCCTGGTCAGCTCGGTAGTCTATAGCGTTAAGCGTTTGCGCGTGAGACTGACGGTTCAGAGTTCGAATCGCGAGTGCGGGATCGTGGATGTGCACTCCTGAGGAGTCTCATGTTGGGAAGAAATGACCGTCTATTCCTTCCACGTTTTCAATGGTAGTCCAGCTTAGATCGACTCATTAATTCAACTATTAAGATATTTTTACAACGTTTAACACTAATAATTTCATTTAATACAATATGAATACAATATTCTACAAAGCACTCACAGTGATTGTAGTGACATAGATATATTTATGCCAAGTTTTCTCGTAAATCCCAAGTTTAAAAATTACTCTATACATTTTATGATACAAAATTTATCCCTTTTTCTTGAATCATATTTTCTATATCTAATACTATTGACAGTGTTACTAATTCCACTAACTGTACTGACAATATCATCTCACTATGATAATGTAGCACGACAACATAAATATCAGGTTCTACATTGCTTATGGCTGAATTTTTTATAACAACTATTTAGCCAATTTTTTTATATACCAGTATGTATCTCCGATAGTAATCGATAATTTTAGATGACTAGGACATTAGATTTACCCATTGTATTTGTTTAAATATGTATCAAGCTTATATTCCAAAAATATCAAAACACTTTTAAGCATTTAAATGAAACACATAGACACATTTTTACAGTCACCTCAGTTATCAACTTCCTATTATTAACAATGATTACATATTGCTCATTTGTTAATCTAAAGTCTTCTAGATATTTTGCTAAAGAGTTCGTGCTGGAATTATATTGAAAATATTCATTTTAGCATTCTATACTGTTACGTATCATTGTGAGCAATGGTACATACTAAGTTTATTTGGTATTGTGTCGTTTCGAATCGTCCCATTGATGTTTAGGATTGAAATTGATCAGTCTCATATTGGTATATGTGCATCACATGCCTTAATTCACAAACATTATTAGCAAAAATGAATGATGGTCAACAGTGAAATCCAGGATGTACGTTCCGTCCTCTTTGAGACTCGTCAATCTGATGTACCTGAATCATAGAGTTGTTGTTCACCCCAGAACTCAAATCCAATACTGTCCATTTCAAACGCCATCACGTTATCCTTTTATCTATTGAGTTCTAATGATCACCCCATTCTACAAGCAAGTAGCTATGACGACTCAATAGCTAAAAGGATAACGTGATGGCTTTTGTAGCGAACGGTATTGGGTTCAAGTTCTGGAGTGAACATCAACTCCGAAATGCAGGTGCATCCAACTGACGAGTCGCAAATAGGGCGAAACTCGCGTCTTAGATTCCACTGTCTGTCATCATTCATCTTTTTTTATCGTGGTACATTCCTATGTGTGCTTTTCTTCATATGTTAATATATAGCAGATTACTGTGCAAATAATGGAAATTACTTCGATACTCCCGGGAAATTATTTTTTTACTATCCAATATTTACTTAATCCAATAACTATACATATAATTAGATAACAAGAATATTCATGCTTATCTGATAATAATTATCAAAAAAACAAATCGTTTGCCTATACATTGTTAAAAACATACTAACAACTAATATTATTAAAAATATGTATAAGGATCTTGATAAGAGTCTGGCATATTGATCGGAATATAAATTCGAATTTAGATACATCACATATTCAAAGTAACGAGGTTGTGTTTTGTTGTTTATTTTTAATTTTGCGCATGAACAACTATTTTTCTTACTCACTGTTTTTATTTTGATTAACTAGTTAACATATCCTTAAAGAAATTAAAAGAAAAGACTATTAGTCATTAAATACAGTTGTCTTAATTGCGTAATTATGTTATGTAATACTAAAAATAAAACACTTTAAAATACTATTACAATATGTTTCCACTTAAGTTTAATTTAAAGAATGATAAAAGATAGGCAAACAAATACCCTTTAATTACTTAATATAGTTCATATAACTAAGTACTTTCATTATATTAGTTGATGATGTATGGTAAAAACATCCACTAGTTGATTTAAACTCAGTCAAACATACAACCTCAAAATGATGGTGTTTTTTCATGACAACCCTATCCATTTGTGATAACTTAAATTTATCAGGAACCTAATTTCAGATGTTCCAAAGTGTTGTCTATTGATCAGTATAAAAACTAAGTTACAGTGAAACAAAACTTAATTTTTAAGTAGTTGGGAACAATATTTCAGAAAAATTCATTTAGTATAGATGTTCTTAAGCGCCTGAAAATAAGCGTCACGTTCAGTTGAATTATATTAAATCTTGAGTTGTGAAGATAACCTTGCTAGCTATAACTTGGGCGGTTGGCAAGATTGGACTAATCTGCTGTAAAACGGATTAGGAAGGTTCAAATTTCAGGGCCAACTAGAATCTTGCTGGCTACCCGATATGTATGCTTATGTCTATGAACTACATGAGTTTCTGCTTGTGTGGTTTTCGTATGTAGGTACATACAAAGGGTACTTTTGTGTTTCCGGTGTTCATGTTATGTATATTTGTTCATATAGTAAGTATACCTTTAAATATGCTATGAGATGCATGGTTGAAAACTTGTGTGCTACCAGCATGTATATAGACTATACTTGCCCCTAGTGAGCAATCTGCACACCGAGACCCTATGCAATTACATCTAAGCATTAGGCTTATGAGCCTTGCGAAACGGAAATTAATCCAGAAAAACTAGTCGGCTTAACCGAATAATGCTTGACCAACCTTAACACGACTAGAACACCGTACTAGCCTACTATGGTACTTATCATGTGTAACAAAGCTGTCAATCGTCGTTTAAGACTTTGTGTATAAGTTTTTTTCATAAACACGTTTATTTTTTTTAGAAATTCGATAATAGACTTAATTGAAGACTGATATCAATCAAGATAATTAATGATAAATTAGTATGCTCTGTAAATCCAGTATGTATTACCAGTGTACTTCCACAATTCTGAACATGATCTAACCCAGTAGCCTACTGTCTAGTTGAGCAAACTAATCTTTAATCTTCCCAAAATTGTACTCCAACCAATCTCACTGTGTAACATGTTAACTTATTTCGAATAAAATGGATTTCCAAAAACAGGTCTATGTAAATAATATGTAAATTAGCAAATATTGATCATTTGATAAGTTAAGTTAATAAACAGTAATTAATGAATTTCTTTGTCTTAAACCATTATGACCAATTTGTAAATAAATAACTGAAACCTTCTAGTGACTATGAATCATTAAAACTAAATCGTTATCTAGATCCAAGTATTAGAGTTCATGATTGAGATCGAAGTACTTTTCTCAATGAGAAAAATAATTGATTTTAAAAATGTTATATAATGTATAACTAGTTCACATAAACTGAAATCAGATTAATAATGATAACACCAATAGATAGATTATATTAACAACTATCCACTGAACTCCTGGATCTTTTGTTTACTCAAGCAGGAAACTATAATTTCAAAATACGTTTTGTCAGAGAGAACTATGAGAATAAGTTAGTAATTAATGGCTGTTCCGATCAAACTTGACAATCAGTAATGCTCAAACATGACCTCACATTATATATTGATAGCTTTTTGAATTGTTAACTACGAATCTATTGGTAAACATTTTCAACTTCATTTAATCTGAATACAGCTCTACGATTACTTAATGCTACATTGGTACCTGTCTTACCATCTACATGACTAACCAGAAAATGGGAAATTCATCTAATGGTTTATCACAGACGAGCACATAATTATTGATTTACCAAATGATTTCTGGTGATTAAACGTGATTTCATACGGAGTCTTAAACTAAGCATGGCACTTTCATCCAAAATGATCTGAGTTCAGAAATTCATAATTCCCAATGCAATACATCTTTAATACCACTGAAAATGAATTTTTGATGCATATTTTGAAATAAACCGAAAACGCTATAGAATAGACTTTTAGTGAAACCCATGAATTACTGTTGGTTTATTTAAATACTTCAATCCACTCGCCTTTATGATTATTTGTTTGTTCATCTCTAAACATCACTTTAAATGATTTAACATTTTAAATATGACTGAAGGTTTCAGTAACACGAGAAAATATTACATCTATACTATCCTTAATATTTATATGTAGTGGACATGAATCCTCACACTGAATAATCCAATTTAATTAGATGAATAGTAAAACTCCTGGAGGTATATAGTAATGGCTTACAAAGAAATCCAAAGTGTATTGATCTGGTGTTACAGAATGAAAAAAATTAGTTCATACACTTCATCATTAACATTATGAATAAATTACAATTCCACAGTATCAATAAAACCAAGCGTCGGGGATGGTTGGAAGAAAGTTAGGGGTAGGCAAACCAAAACGTGGCATCAGTGCTTGAAGTCACTAACTTCTAGTTTGAGCCATGTTGGTAGATGCAGACTACCTGGTTGGGGTCCACGTGACTATCGTAACCGATGGTTGGAGACTCTTGGTGACATGGCTCAGAATCGATCACAATGGCGTAGGTGTATACACTTTTTACCTTCTCTTAAACCTTGAGATTAAAATTGCTTCATATCTGTCTTCTTTCTATACAATATCCTTATATACAACCTTTCCTTTATATAATACCACCACTAAATTAATTACTATGAATTCAGTGTTCATCTCATTGTGCTAACGAGGTATGGCAACTTGGACCGATGCATATATGTGTGTGATCCTACGTTGTAGCTGACTGATATATATTAATTACTTGAGATTTAAACACTTCTTAACAAATCGAATGCATTTTAAACCATTCACATACAGTCCATGTAACAAAACGATTAAACACCTAAAAAAACATACTTCAAAAATATAAAATATAATACATTAAAATATAGAAACAAATTAAACTCACTTGAACTCAATGTGATTTCTTCTAAGTCAGCTATTCTAGGAAAGAAATCTTTTAGATGAGTATATTCAAGTACAAGAGAATCACTGTCAATATATGGCACATCATTATCTTCGCATTCATAACTACTAAGCAATTCTTTACCTTTATTTATGCTATCAGTTTTAATTTCATTCCTTTCTACCTGTCTCTCATTAATAGTGTTGTTAGTACTATAGTTAGTTTGATTATTGGTAATGTTTTTACTTAAAGAATTATATTTATCTGTGGAATGTGAGCAATCATCCTCCCAGCGATAAGTTTGATTCTGTAATTCTAGATCACGTATTCTTTGTATTACAGTGGAATTGTTTTTATCGACATATTTTGAATAAGGCAAAATTTGATCATTGTAAATTTGTTTATTCTGTATAAGGATATCACTTTGGCATGGATAATTATTGTCATCGTTCTCTTCGTCATCATCTAATTTGTCGTCATCCTCTTCATCATCACAACCGTAGTCATAGAAACTTCTTTTCTCTTCCATATCATCACTATTTTGACAATAAATCCCTGTTGAATTATTCAGTTTCATATCACGACTCAAATATTGTGGAAAAAATCTTCTACGCGCCGGAGATAAATCATCATGATAGGAATTACTATTTGCTCCTCCACTTTTTATGTTTTTATCTGGACTAGAATCATCATTACTAATAGTCTGATTCAATACTCCTTGCGAATCTGATATAGAACAATTACTTTGTTGTCCATTTTTCACTTTTTCTAATATACTACTTAATTCAGCATCTGATTTTATCAGTAGATCACTCACTCCAACAACAGCTGGAGATCTTTGTAATGGACGAAATAAACTATTAATATTATTATTTAATTTTGTTTTTAAACTTTCCGAATAGTTTGACTGTTGTACAAGATTAGACGGTTTGCTAGAAAATTTCTCATTAGGATTGGAAATTTTTACGGTACTCATTTCTAAATTCTCAAAGGTTTGATCATCCTGTTTTTTAGGATTTTCGTTACTAAGTTTGATGTTTGCAGGACAGTTAAAATTTGTCGAGGATATTTTAGACTCATTTAATTCATTTTTATTCAAGATCAAAGGACTTTGTTGATAAGAATATGAAAACAATTTTGAATAATCTATAGGCTTAAAATCAGGACTTTTAACATGATGATATGTTATCGGTTGATTATTGAATGTCATTTCATTTGAATTAAGTTCTTCTTCATATAATATGACAGGTGGTAAACTGTCTGTTTTGTCTTTACACTTTTTATACTGATGACACAATGATGAGGATGATGATGTACTAAAGTTTGTCTGAAGAGGACCTACTTTTGAATGTATATCATCTTTCTCTTCCTTATAATATTTCTCAGATGGATTTTCAGGGGTAACATAAATTGAATAATTAAAGTCATTGTTAGTCGCTGATAATGTATAGGAAAAGTCACGTGACACCGTTTTAAATGTAGACAGACTCGTATGATTGTTTGTTTGACTTAAAGGATAATTATTTATCTGTGAAGTAGTGTGTCTGTCTAATAATCTAGACTGTTGTGTTTGATTAAGCGTGTTTGAATTATCATACAAACCTTTAATGGAGGATCTATGATCTGTGGAATTTTTCGATAAACTACTGGGTAAATAGCTTCCATCATGACTGATATGTGACGCAATTAACAGTCTATTATCTTCATGCTTATTATCACAATCTTGGAGGATGTTTGTCGATGTATAGTTCGGGATTAAAGGTCTAACTGATTGATTACTGAAAGATGAAGTACATCCAGTACATAATGGTTTCTGCTTCACCATGTTTTTATAGAAGTCTTTATGATGACCTTTCATCACATCATTACTTGTTGTTACCATATTGGGCATGAATTGAAAGAAGATTGGATTCTCTATAAATGAGTCATTTGATGTTTTGTGTGGATTTTCATTAAAAATTGGATAGTGATTAGTAAAATTCTGTGTAGAAAAATTAGAAGATGTGAAACTAGATTCAACACTTTTCATTGGCTGAACACACAGATTAGGGAACTGTGGTTTTGTGGAATTCTGTATTAATGTTTTACATATGTTATTTGTATTGGATACAGAAACAAATGGATGAAATGATGATAAATTTTGTGATGAATTTGATGGTTGTCTAAACAAATCAACAGTGTTTTCAGGTATAAAACTATCTTTTATTAATTGACTTGATATATCCTTTGTATTACCGTTTGAAGTACATTTAAAATTACCACTTTCATACATAACAGAATATTCGGGAATATTTTCTGTATCATTTAAATGTTTAACATTTTTATTTAATTTATGATAACCTAAAGAAGATGTCATTGTTGGTTGATTTGATGTTAATGTCCAACATAATTGATTTTTACCATAATCAGTTGATAATATTAATAATTCTTCATCAGTTATTTCATCATTCCATAGTGGTAAACTAAAATCTTTATGTATTCTATTTACTTTATTCATCATAAATCCTTTTTTATTTTCTTTAAACTCTTCATGTATTCTATCAAGTCTTTGAAATGTACCATCATTATTACCATTATTATTATTACTCATACCATTATTATTACTATCAGTAGTATTAGTAGTAGTAGCAGTAGTATTAGTAGTAGTAGTAGTAACAATTTTAAAAAATTCATTTCTTATTGATGAATTCATTTCATTTGATAAGTTTTTCTGTAATTTATTGTCATTTAAAAAAGTTTTTTGATTATCTAATGTAACAGGTAAATTTATTGTCCAAAAATCACATAACTGTTTATTACCATTATTGATCTTTACACCATTATTATTACTATTATTATTAGTATTATTATTATGATGTTCCAATAATAGGTCATGTTGTTTAAACTTATCTAATGTATTATTGTTATTATTATCATTTATCATTATAGTAGGATAATTGGATGTAAAATCATTTTCACATATTTTTAATTCTGTATCAGTACAATAACTTATTTGATCTATATCATATAATTCATTATTAAATGTTCCATTATCTGATGTTTCTAATTCACTTGTCTCTTCAGCAATTGTTTCTAAAAATGCATTACTATATGATGCAATTAATGGTAATTCAATAAATTTATTATTCATTGATGATAACATTTCAGGTTTTGTTAAATGAATATAATTTGTGGTATTCTTTTTATTGTCAATAGTAGTAGTAGTAACAGGAGTAGTAGTACCAGTACCAATAGTAGTAGTAGTAGTAGTAATAGTAGTATTGATATGTTTCGAAGGTTTATTATCGATCATATTATCATAATAACTAAATTTAGATTTTTCATTTCTTCTCTTGATAATATTCTCATTTTATATTTCCAGTTGAATAATTTGTCACTTTACATATGAAGATAAAGATGATATTCTATAGGATAATATAAATAGAATTTAAAATATAAGTATATAACATATTGTACATAAATTTCCTTTACATTATATAATGTTGCTAAGTAGTAACAAGTTTTCTCTGAAATTTTTTTCCTCTCTCTTATTTTTTTTTCAATATTCTGATGTAATAAATAAAAAAATAATGAAACATTTAATCATTCCATTTAAAATAATTAATTATTGAATATTAAATTATCCATTTAAATATGGCGAATTCCATAACAGACTGCAAACTGTTTAATACATTGAATTTTGTTGTACATAACTTTCCCACAGTCTTTTTTTTAATGACCTGAGTTTATTCTAAAAAACATTTTTCCGTTTTTTTTTCTTTTTTTTGTTGGTGTATATGTTATTGTTATTGTTAGTTTATTTTTCTAATAATGATTGGATGTGTTACTTCCCCTAAAACACAATAATAATATTTACTGGTCTGTTATTATTTCACAATCAAAAGAATAAGGTTAAATTTTGTTTGGATAAGAATTGGAAACAACCTATAAAAGTGAACATAGAAACAGTAACATATAAATCTATTTTTGTATATCAATGTATATATCGATATGCACATATGTATATATATTCACACACCCACACACCCACACACACATACACACACAAGAGTAAGTAAGCAAGTAAGCACACAATTATTGTCTAAATGATGTGTCTTTATAAGGTTGAGGTTTTATTAATGTTCTTGTAGTTCATTTATTATTATTAAAGATTGTTGTAATCTAAAAAGACAAGTGTTTGTATCACGCTCACCAATTTATATTATACTTTAAAAAGTATGGAAAATTATTTTAATGTAAAAAAACAAAACAAAAACAAATTACAGTGATAAGAACAACAACACCAACACCAGTGTTTATGTACACGAAGTAAAATTAATTTAATTTGGGTCAAATGGGAATATATATTCTTTATTGGATAAGATTTCTCTCAACAACAATAACAGCAACAAAAAATTCATTTTCTTATTAGTTGTTTGAATCTTCTCATTGATGTTTAAGATTGAAATTGGCATAAATGCATCATGTGCAGATTGTCTCGATATTGCCTTAAGTCACAAGTATTATAAGTAGAGATGGATGATGGCTAACAGTGAATTCCAAAATGCGTTTACAATGCTTGTGACGTAAGACAATATCAAGGCAATCTGTACACTATGCACATATACTAACATGTGACTGATCAATCGCAATCCTAATCACCAATAGGAAGATTCAAACAACCAGTACTAAAACGAATAAAAACCTTACCCCACTACACAAGCTAGTGGCTATCAGGACTCACTAGTTAAAAGGATAACGTGATGGCGTTTGAAGTGAACGGTATTGAGTTCGAATTACGGAGTGAATATAAACTGTAGGATTCAGATTAATCCAACTGACGAGCCCTAAATAGAACGAAACACGCGTTCTGGAACCCACTGCTAGCCACCATCCATCTCTGCTTTTTAAAAAATAATTTTTAAACTTGATTATTCATGTATTATTTATGAATTAACTGTATTAACTGTATTTTTCGTCACAAACCAATTCAAAATTATAACAAGAACTGCTCATCAAGATCATCTCTTAAAAAACATGAAATGATGAATGACTGAGAGATTAAAAAAATATTGACTGCCGTTCCATGAGCAAACAAGGATATAATGTGGAAAGATATGTGTGATAATACTTTCTGAAAAATTTGACATACTTTTAGGTTAAACCTAAATCAAAAGTTGAGCAGGATTGGTTAAGAAAACTTTGTCATATAACTTAAGGTTTATAATGAGTTACATATGGGTTAAGAGTAATTATTATTTCCAGGAGCAAGTCCTCAAGAATACCTACACTAAGTAGATCGTCTTTAGAATAATCTTATTTTAAACGTCACCTTATATCTAGCTAATATGAACTATGCAAATTAAATAAATCAGTGGAAATTAGAATAACCTGATGATGAATTTGAAAACTAACCCCATTGCATAATTAAGTGGCTATCAGGACTCAGTAGCTGAGTGGATGACGCGATGACGTTTGAAGCGAAAGGTAATGGATTCGAGTTTTAGGATGAACATCGAATCCGAGATGCAGGTACATCCAGCTGACGAGTCCCAAATAGGACGAAACGCGCGTGCTGGATTCCACTACTAGCCACTATTCATCTTTGCTTATAACAACTGATATTTAGTGTACAATCAATGAAAACAATTCAATGATCGACGAATACATCAATCTAGTTTAGGATATTTCAAAAAATCCCATTGTATATATGTAATATGAGAAGGAACACAGGGATTTCAAACTTTATTGAACTTAAAGCACCATATAATAATGCATTTGAGTAGTAAACATATCTTCAGATTTAGTCAATGTATCATATATCTTCTAAAGTAACTGTTAATTTCTGCTTTTTTCCTAATTTTCATAAACCAATTAAGTGATTATTAATCCAATGTTTTTTAGTCACGTAATTAGTCGAAAAACATGACGAATTTGCAATGAAGAATCGTATTCCTAAAGAGGATAATTACACAAGTGTGTATTAGTAATATCTGAAAATATCTATACTTATTAGTTAACTGAATTAAGACGTAAAACTTGGGACCTATAATATTCCAAATACATGGCTAAATTAGGTTTTGATTTCCAAGAGACATATATTCTAGAATGAACATCATTTAGAATAGTGGATAATTTAAAAGTCCACTCTATCTTACTTATTATTTAAGGCGACTTTCCATCACATATCAGTCAGCTACGTGAACTAACCTCAAACTGAATTAATTTACATAAATCATTTAAATCAATAGTGGCATTTCTTTAGACAATGATAAAAAACAAATCAAAAGATAAAAGCACATTCAAATCAGTAATCTCCATTAAAATTCAATCGTTTCTACTTGACTATTTCATTAAGGTGAATCAACGTGTGTTTAAGTGTAAATTTATGACATGCCTATGCTAAAATCGGTAACCAGTCTATCTCCTCAAAAACTATGCTGTCAATGAATTCAACTCTATGTGAACGACTATTTTAGAATAATTAAAGCTGAATTTCATTGATACAAATCTAGTACTATAGCACCTAATTAAGAATAAAGATATGATACCACTCAATAAAATTACATTTCTAGTTGAATAAAGCAGAAACGTTTTTAATGTTTCTAAATTCTAAAAATGCGGCTAGATCCCATTTCTTTTGATAATGAGTTCAAAATTAATAAGTTATTTGGAAAAAACTAAGTAAATAAATATTACTTCATGATTGGAGGTAGTCATCAGGAAACTATCTACCTAGAATGTTTGCCAATTAACACTCATCAGTAAGAGATACCTGTAACCTTTGGGGTCCGATACTCATTAAGGTCATTGAACAAGTGTCACTCGAATTCATGATCGTGTGTCAATTACACTCAAATTAATTAAGTTCTTGTCCATCGCATTATACATACGAAAAATGGTTAATACGATACACTTGGCGAGTATGAAAACGTTGCGTTTAACCATAGCTGTCTTAAAAGATCAGTAATTTTTTTGTGTATCAAAATAACAAAAATTCACGTTAGAATTTTCTCAATAGCTAATTTTTATTGTTGTAACTATCTACTACACTTCAGTGTACTTATAAAAATAACTTCCATTCAATTCATTATCATTTTATATCAACATAGTTCACAGTTCAACCAAAACAATTACAAATCAATATTACTTTTTAAACATGCTACTCCCTTTCATAAAAATCAATGTTCTAAAGGTTAAACGTTCACATGCCAAACTAAAGGTCCCATACTCGAGTCCCACATGCGGGATCGTGGACGCGCCACTACTGAGGAGTCTTATACTAAGACGAAGCGATCGCCCAGTGCTTCCAGACTTCCAATGATAGTCTAGCTTAGATCGGCTAACGAATTCAATTACTAAAATCTAATTTGACAAGATTTAAAAGTTAAAACAAAATAAAATTTCATACGTAACAAAGCTTAAACTGAATCTTAACCAGAAAGCTTATTTTGTTTTAAGAAATTGAAGAATTATTGGTCTACTTTCTGTCACTTTGAATTGTATAAGTTTTATTTAATATATCTGAATTGTAGGAATGACAGTCTTTCTTTATTCGATACCCAAAACTACAGATGAATACGTTAATATTATTGACTAATCAGTGTTTAATTAAATTATTATCATCTTCAAATGATAACTTCATCTTTTGAGTTTATTTCGTCTTGTTTCTTGTAAAATCCTGTTTTCTACAAAGTTTTGTTATCAACACTTGACGATATGATGAACTAATATTTAACTAGGGTGCAAATTGTTTACCAGAATATCACCCTTGTAAATAATATATTTATGTATCCATCGATGACTAATTTTAAGATGGATGTCCCAAAATTTATAGATGTAAGCCATATCTAATCAAATTAGCCATATAAGAAGAAGACAATAAATTTCCGATGACCATATACAAGAATTAAGCAACATCGAAAACTGATTACGCTTAAAAATGTAGACCATCTGAGTGTAATATATAAATCCATAGATACTCCCCGTATTCAGGTGCCAAAAGTTTTTTAAATTTGTTTCAATCAGTTCCATAGATAATTCCATTTTAATTGAGCACTAATCAAATGAAGAATTTCATTTTCTTGACAAAAAGAACAATAACATGAATCGAATAAAACTTATAGTTTAAACTCTAGAATTGATAAAAATATTTTAAAATGATAAATTATCAATGACAATAAAGTTGTTGTTAGGATGGCTCATTGGCAAACTTAGGGAGGCTTCAAGAAGTCTAGAAAGAGCCGAAGACATTCCATCCAATCACCGCTAGAGGAACATTCTAGAATATCGACGTGTAGTTATCCTTTTGGTTGAATAAGAAGGACCCCCTATGTGCCTATTAGCTATCCGAAATGATGATTTAATTTAAGCCAAAAACTATAAATACATGAGATTTTTGTACTATATTTGACACTGTTTTGGGGATAACATTCTTACTTATTAGTCTTCTGTCTTCTTATTTGCGACTTGAGAGGGTTCTATCGTTCGAATGCTCAAATTATACGCAACATACTAAGAATCTAAGCTCTAGATATTACAGTTGTATCACAGAATTTATAATTATAATAGATAAATAGAATGTAACACGAAATATCAAATTATAATATCCCATCGACAACTACTTTTGCCTGGTTCCAAATATGCACGAAATATTATCTGGGCAAATAAATGAATAACTAACTAATGAAAATAAGAAAATCTGATTAATGACAAGATTGAAATTAATAATCTCATT